GCAGTTCACTTGTGTACTGGGAAACGGTGCTAGTTGGAACCCTTCCTTTCACTTTTGAAAAACACATCCAGCAACTGTAAATTAATACCCAACTCAACACTATTCATCCATGTAAATTTTATGGCTAAAAACGAGCTTTCTGCCAGATGGTCTCAGCCTTGTCTCTTAGAGACTGCCAATGCCTACAGAAGGCCCGGCATCCTCCAGAGCCTGGAGGCCCTGTCCTCTCCTCCTGCAAAGTGTCCCCAGTGCCCTTGACGACCTTGGGCAAGGTGGGCAGCAGCTGGGAAACACTGGGCAGAGTGCTGGCCGCCCATGAGGTCCTGGCGTTCAGGGCCTGCAACGCCCGAGACCCGGGGAGTGAAGATGTTTTTATCTAAGAGGGGCCAGAAAACTTCCTTATGTTAAAAATGGAGGCCGGAACCTAAGACTGGTTTTGTCCAGGGGAGTGGGCAGCAGGCGGGGGCCAGATGGACACAAGGATTCTTGGAAGATGGCCTTCTGGGTAGATCTGACTTTAGAATCACATCAGTATGTGGTGCAATTATAAACAGAACCACACTGCAAGTAACCCTAAAAAATGGAGAATTTGAGGAGACGGGCAAGTGTCCACTGGAGAGTCCCTGGTGGGCACCGTGTGCCTGCTTCAAGGTGGCCTCCAGTGCTTCGTGGGGGGCAGTTTCTCCAACACAGCCAGTGTTTCCCACTGTGGGGGAGACTGCCAATCCCTGGGCCTGTGGTGCTGCCCACCCTGCAGCCCTCGCCTTGTCCTCCAGCCCCGTCTCACCTCTCCTGGGGTCTTCCCGGGCCTCCTCCCCCAGCCCAGTCCCATGTCAGGACTCCGGGAACCCTCTGGGCCCCTTAAGTCTCCCTGTCCCCAGCTGAGTGCCTCTCTCTGGGCCATCTGCCCGTCCAGCACCCTCTGGCTCCCCAGGGGTATCCTCAGGGTCTGCTTCCCTCCCTGGCTTTCCTGGGTCACGGGCTTCAGGGTGTGCAAGACTTGCTGGGGTCTCAATCCAACACCCATGCCCTGCTGAGCCTCCACGCCCTTTCGCAGCCCCGTCCCCGTGGCGCCCCATTGCAGGCACCGAGGACGGTGTGCCTGTGGTGCTGGCCATCAGGCTGCTGATGTGGGCATGAGGACACCACGTGCCTGCAGAGCATGGGCCACTGAGGGCAACCACGCCCCCCCGCCCACAAGAGCCACGGGAGGAACTCACGACCCAGCGGGTGGTGATTTTTTTTTTACTAAAGTCACAACAGATGATCTGACCCACCAGGCCAGACTTCTGAGAGGCAGGACACAGCTGGAGGGTGAGTGAGGCCACCCTAGGTTGGTGGCTGAGGTGGCTGAGCGCCTGTGGGGCTGGCGGGAGGGGACACAGCTCCTACTTCGCTCTGTCCCGGAGTCGGAACAAACAGGCATCATCTTGTAACTAAAGGAAAACGAAGAACAAAGTAAAAACCAGGAGAGCAGCTCCAGCACCCAGTACTGACGTAGCACCCGTGAAGCATCGTCCCAGAAGGGATTTAAATGACACGAGAGACGGAATGTGGTGACACGCACATCCCAACAGGACACGCTGTAGCACGCAGGCGTGGTGCTGCGCCCCCAGAGCTGGTGCTCCTGGCGCTCGGCACAGACCGGGCGGGGCAGGCTGCGCCACAGGCAACCGTTCTGAGGCCCTGCTCCGCGGTCCCCATTCGTGCAGGGCGCTCGGGTGCAGCCACGTCGTCCTCGTCTTCGGGCTTCCTCCAGTCCCTCCTGCTACAGCGGCTGCACACGCCGGGTGCAGCGCCCTCTGGCGACCAGGACGGAGCAGCGCGGAGTCGAGCTGAGCTGAGGACGCGGTCCCTGTCCCCACAGCGGCCCTGAGGCGAAGACGCTCTGCCCTCCGGCTCGCTCATGGCAGCAGAGCCGGGACACAGATGGGGACCAGTCTGACCAGCCTCACCTCATTTCCTGAGCCACCACTCGGGACCCAGGATCCCCTCCCCTGGCCGGCCCCTCCAAGAACCCCCGAGGCCTACGTGGAGGCGGCGAGTCTCCTGTGCCCCACGTTCACTTCAGCCTCAGAGATCTTTCCCTCAACACTCAGACTTTCCTTACACGTCGCCAGCAGGAGTGTTCACACTTCTCAGCACTTGTGGGGCAATTTTACGCGAGACACACTCTGGTCCACACAAGGCCCTGCTCGGACGCCCTCCTGTGTCCCTGCAGGGCATCCGGCTCTGACTCATGACTGCACACTGGCTGCAAGAAAGGGAAGGCCCAGGTGGAGAACTGGCGGTCAGCATGGTCACTGGGCTATGGTTGTCAGGACACCCACACTGTGTCCTCCTAAATCATGGTGGCTGCACTTAATTTCCACTTGGCAGACGAGACACCGAGGCCCCAGCACTGCCAGAGAGTGTCCATCAGGCCCCTGTGGGTGCAGCTCCCACCCCAGCCACTGGCCACCAGGCCAGACGAGAGCAGCACATGCTGGGGCCCAGACCCTGCAGGGGCCAGGAGCACTGTGACCTGCCTACTCGACCCCGGACGGCCCTACCCCCTGCTGCTGGGCTGGGCCCCCGGCCCGGCCCCCGACACCCCACTAGTCAGCGTCCGGGCTGAGTCTGGACGTCCGCACGTGCACTGGTGAGGGGGCTGGGCTGGTGTGACGTCGTTTTTGCTTGCACCAACATTTGGATGTTTTATTTAATTTTGTCTTTCCAATGAAGATTAACTGAAATAATTGACAAGCTGATGCCAGTGGTCAGCTGAGCCCAAGGGGTAGGTGGATGAGGGTTGACCAGACACTCATATGTGAAAAGTAACAAAGAATAGGAAATGCTGAAAACATGAGCCACAAGGCAAGGGATGAAGAGTAAGGGTTTAGAACCGTGGGCCAGGCTGACACCCAGGCCCCAGCCCACAGCCAGGCTCCGCCTGCAGGGAGCACCGCCTCCCCCACCACCTGTGGCCGTGTCGTCCGCTCAAGAGTCCTCTCTGCGGGCACACTCACCTACCTTCCCACATCCCACACACAGAAACACCGCACTGTCCAGGGTTTTGTAACATGGGCATTTCCTGACATGGGATGTCGGTCATCTCGCACAGGGCTCCCTCCTGCCCCTGCCCCTGCCCCACGCAGAAATGCCAGCCCACGCGGAGGCGCACGGCCTGCCCAGCCTAAGGCTTCCCAAGTGCAGAAGGGGTGGCACCTGCTTCCTGCCTGTTACACACCTTGGCAGTGGGCCTGACCCAGGTGGGAGGATCCAGAAGTTTCTGGACAAGTTTCAGGTAACCGCACCATGAAGGACTAAAATTAACCTGATAAGTCTGTTTTCCAGCTGGCGCTGTCCCGACAGTGGGGTGAGGAGGGAGCACACTGCCCGTGGGGAGGTCACCCACGAGCCCACGTCTGGAGACAGATTGCTGCTGAACAGGAGCTAAGTCGCGACCAGACGCAGCCAGCAGGGAGGCCACAGGTGGTGCCCGTCCCACCCCAGCGCTGGCATCTGAAGGCGCTTCCTAGGAGCAGGGCGAGCAAGCGCCCCGGCCAAGATGTTTATCCACTGCGCGAGGGACTTGCCGGTGCTGTGATGTGACTGAGGGCACGCGGGGGCCTCTCACTCCCACACCTGAACCCTGAGGCCAGCAGACCCTGCAGGAGGCGTCCAGAGCATGACCCACATGGGATTCACTGCGGACACCACTGGTTCCAAACCACCGAGACGCTCAGAACACGATTCTTAAGAACGTTCCAAGTTCCAGTCTCGTGTCTGCTCTCACCACACAGACATTCTCACACGTGCATTTCAGGAAAAAAGCGTTTACTTTTCAAAGCAGCACTTGCTTAAATGCTGCCTCTGCAGCAGGCCCGCGATGCTGATGGGGGGCCTGGGTGCCACCCCTCTCCCCGCTCCGCTGGCTGCTGGGGGCGCTTGGCTCCCGGTCCACCCCTCACAGGGGAGCCGCAGCGCTGGGATCCTGTGATGAATTCAGTAACACAGTAACTCAGCCTCAACTGCTTTCTAGCATTTAAGGCCACGTGTAGACTCAAGACATGTTCCGAGAATGACAGGCCATCCACGTGGCGAGCTTGGGGCTGCTGGGCCTGTGGGAGCAGCTGCACGTGTAGCACTACCGGGCCACCTCACAGGAGGCCCTTTCTGGGCTGAGGTGACCGTGGCAGGGCCCCCGAGAAAGGCTGCCCTTTACCAGGCTCAGAGCCTGCAGTCAGTGGAGCCCCCTGCTGGATTCCCTCTGTGCTGACGCAGAAAAAGTCCAGTTACAAACAAGAGAGCACTGAGCTGGAGGTGGGCGGGCCTGGCTCCCTGGGGGTCAGAGGGCACTGGGTGGAGGGCCCAGCTCCCTGTGGTGGGGTGGGGTAGAGAGCAGCCTGTGGTCAGGCAGGTGAGTAGGGACAGCATCGTGAACCGAGGGGCAATGGGCATGCAGTCTGGAGGCCAGGGCTGGACTGTGCCAGACGGCAAAATGCGGACTTGTCGCTGTGGGACCTTGGGTGAGGAGGGGTGAGAGGGGAGGGTCTGCCTTTTAGAGAGGCCACCGGGGCTTCCATCTTAAGAACGAACCCTGAGGGGCAGCCAGTGAGCGCTTGGATGTGCAGCAGAGAAGGCGGCTGCACATCCAGGACAAGCTTGGCTGAGGGAGGTGCCGGCACGCCGCTCCGGGCTGGGAGACGCACCCCACTTGCTTCTGTAAACAGAGCGGTGGGGACGTAGCCAGGCCCCCCGGACGCAGGGCCCACAGGGAACTCACCGCCCCCGGGCCAGTCTTGGGGTGACCGGCTGTGCAGCCACACACAGTGCTCCTGGGTTTTAGCAACAGGGCCCCCACTAAATTACATTCTAGCTTCAAACACACGAAGTAGCCGGCGAGGCGGGTGGGCCCCTCACGCTCCCACTTCACCTACCTGGGAGCCTGGGGTTCGCTGGAGCGACACGGCGTCAGGCTGAGGTGCTGAGGGTGGTGGGCCACGCTGCCTGCAGGGGTGGAGGTGTGTGTGAGCACAGGGCTGCTTCCTCCTCACCCCCTTCAGCGTTCCGGCCAAGCACCGGCCCTGGTCCTGCCAAGTCTCAGGACCCACCGCCAGGGCTCCATCAGGGAGGAGGGGCAGCCCTGGTGTGGACCCTCCCACTGATTTTGGCTCCAGTGACTCTGAGAACCCGGGAGGGAAGCCCTTCAGTTCTGCTGGGAGGGAGGGGGCAGGACAGCGGGGCTGACACGGGCCCCAGGACGACTTGTGTCCTCTCCACCCAAACCGTGGGATTTTCACACGGCCTCAGTCTCTGTTGAAACCTTCTGAGCGAATAAGAAGCCTCTTTTAAAGATATAAATGGTCCCTGGTACGTGTCAGTCCCACCAAAGGCAAATGCGGAAAGACTGCCCCTTCCCGATACCCAAATTCCTCTGCATCTGACGGGTGAGTTCCGATGGTTCGAGAAAGCCAGGGGAGGATGGGAAGACAGCACTAAGGTCAGGCTCCTTCTGTGTCCTTTCCTGTTACCCTGCGCATAACCGAAGGATCAGAGAGGGGGAGCACCTTGCCCGAGGCTGCACAGCACTAAGAGGCCAGTAGAGGCCTCATCTCTACCCCTGGGCTGTGCAGGCCAGGAGGACTGCCCACTGCAGGTGCCCCCTGGAGGACCACAGCAGCGGGCTGGGGAATAGAACCCCCCTTAGCACTGCGTTAACTGTGCTGTTTTCTGTGTTTTCCGAGGGGGGCCGTGCTAACCTTGGGGAGACTGCCCCTCCCAGGGCTGGCTGACTCCCACAGGCGGCAGAGGCCAGCAGGTGAGCGGAGTGTGCCCGTGACCCCTCCTCTTGTCTGCCTGCCACACTCTGCCCTGATCAGCCCAGGTGGACATCAGACAAACGAGGCCGTGCCTATGCCAGGACTGCCAGCCCCAAACCCAGCTGGCCTGCACCCACCGCCCTGCCCACTCCTTCCCCCAAAACCACGGCGGAGGCTCTTGCCTCCGTGGCCCCCTTGGCCCCTTGGCCTCCTGAGTGGCCCTGCCTCCTGCTTCCAGGGACTGTGAGTAAAAACTTCCTTCCCTGTGGCACTGTCTCATCTGTTGGCCTTATCAGACCTGGCGGCACGGTTCCGGGCGCAGCTGGACATGAGTGACATCAAGGCCCTTCTGTCCAGAGACGACGTGCCCAGCGCCGCGCTGCTCAGCAGGGCGGCTTCTTACCCACCCACCGGGCACGGTCCCTTGTGGACACAGCTGTTACAGCACGGACAAGGACACCGAGGGCCAGGAGGTCAGTGACTCACGAGGTCGTGTGGGCAGTGCTCTGACCCCAGAACAGGGGTCCTTCAGTCCTGCCTGCGGATGCTAGGCCACAGCAGGCCTCTGTCCTGAGGGTGGTGACTCAGCTTGCTGCTGGAGGGAGGCGCGATGCCAGGGGCCCGAGGAGGCCATCCTCAGGGCTGGGCTGCAGCCCGACTAGAAGCAGTGACCAGAGGAAGCTCCACCAGCAACAGGACAGTCCGAGTTAGGCTGCTTCTGCTCAGGAAAGCAAGCTGCTCTCTGCTCCTTGGAAAGACTTCCATTTGAAAATCAAAATGGAAAACGTGTCGACACTTAAAGATGAGTTTCACTGTCAGGAGCATGGGGACACCGGGGGCCGTGATGTCGTGTGGATGGGACACTGAGTGCCGACGGTGCTGGGGGGGCGCGAGGGGCCATGGAAGGGTCAGCACGGCTCACAGGACAGATGGGCCAGGGAGTGAGACGCTGCGCCCATGGCTCCTCCACTCGCCTGCAAATGTTTGTGGAGAAGGGACCTCCAGCCATGGTGGAACCGAAACCAGGGAACCCTCTAGAGGGCCGAGCCCGGTGGGAAGGGGCCAGGGAGAAGGAGGCATGGCCAGGGCTGCAGCCCCTCATCCCCGAGACGAAGGACAAGGCTGGAGGACTCGCACTTGCCGACTTCGAGAAGGTCCCCAAAGCCACAGGGAGCAGGGACAGGCGGACTTCCAGGCAGCAGGAGAACACTCATGGCACCAGAGGAAGGCGGCTTGCGGCCAACCCCTCGTCAGAAACGCAGGAAGCCGGAGGCGGTGACACGACTGCAAGTGCTCGTCGTGGCCAAACAAGGGTTCATGTCCAGTGACATACCCTCCAAACGAAGACGAAGGCATTCAAATGTGCACAAAACTGGGAGATTTCGCCACCAGCTGACCTGCGCTACGATAAACCGGGCCTTTGGTTTAACTGGAAGCAGCTGCCAACAGTACCAGCCCCAGAGAGGTGACAAGTGCAGGGGTCTGTGCGCTTCCGTGTCCCCTGCGAGCTTAGTCTCTTCACAGGAAGTACTTCCAACACCGCCTGGCTGGGGTCCCAGCATGCGTGACGACACGGGAGTGAAGCTCACAAAGTCACTGGCTTCACCAGAGCCCAGGGAGCGCTGGCTGCAGGGGGTGCCGGGCCTGGTCCCCAAGGGGATGGCCGGAGACAGCGCAGCCTGCACACCAGTGCAGGGACCAGTGTCCCAGCTCCGCCCCCGCTGCACTTGGAGCTGGAGTCCAAGGTCAAGGGGCCGGGAGCCCCGCAGGTGCGTCTCCTGCATGAGGACTCAGTCCCATCTGATCAGGCACCACCCTTACCCCCAGACACCGCCTCCAAGTGCAGTCACAGTTTTGCAGGGACACAACTCAATCCACAGCAAATGATGCACTAGAGATACTGAATGCAAAGCGGGCAGTTAAGGAGATTTAGACAAACCAAACATCCCACGGTGGATGCACAACACACAGCAAAGTGGGAGACAAACCCAAACCTACCAACAACTACACTGACTATCGAGGGACTGAACACTCCCATCAAAAGGCAGAGGTTACAAGCAGGATCTGACCACGTACTGTCCACCTGAGGCACGTGCTGGCTCCAAGGACAGACAGGTGACAGCGAAGGTTGAGAAGACACCCTGTGCAAACTGCACCTAAGCTGAAACTGAATGAAGGAAAATCCACTTTCAAAGTAATTAACTCCTCAGGTACAAATTTACCAAGAAAGCGTAAGGCCAGTACCTCGAAAACCACCGGATTCCTCAGAAACCAGCGTGAACGAGGGACCCAGTCGGCAGGTGTGTCACGTCCGCGGACTGAAGGCGCGACTCTCCCCGGCTCAAGGGCAGGTTCCGTGACACTCCCACCGGAACCCGAGCAGGGATTCTGGCAGAATCCGACAAACGGACATTCAGATTTACAGAGACGCGGAGGCTTAGACCAGCCCAGGTTACTCTGGGAAATAAGTACCAGCACCTGATTTCAAACCTCACCGTGAAGCACCAGTAACCATGACGATGACACTTACGGCAGAAAGGGGGGGACACACTAACCAACAGGACCGACCTCGACTGTCAGCGCCACTCGACTAATTCAGTCCTGCTGGCTGGAGGGACGGAATCCCGACCTCGCACAGCCGTGTTTAAAATTTCCCACCGTCTTCTCCTTGATCCCTCGTGATGCTCCTCCAGACCACGCTGTCCTCAGTCACACCGCCTCCTCTCCAACCCACGCCCCTTGACCTCTGCTCCGCCAGCAGACATCCCCACCACTTCCCGGTACTGAGAGAAAATGTTCACTATTTCAGCGTCATGACACGGGCTGTGGGCTTTTGGTGGACGCCCTTCATCAGACTAGGACATGTCCTTCTATCACGTGTTTGAGAGGTTCTACCGTCAACGACTAGGATTTTGCCAGATTTTTTTTCTTTTCTTCCTTTCTTAATGGAGGTGCTGGGAATTGAACCCAGGACCTTGGGCATGCCGAGCACACGCTCTACCACGGAGCTCTATCCTCCCCTCCTCAAGTTCTTTTCCTGGTGAAAAGATTTTTTAGGTCCTTTATTCTACTAGTCAACTGATTTTCAGATGTCAAATAACCTTCAATTCTTGAGCTGAGCCCCCTGGTGACAGTGTAAAATCCTCTTTACATGCTGCTACACTGACTGCCTCGTGTGTGTTGTGGGCCCTGCGCCACGCTCACGGGGAATACCGCTCAGTTCTCCCGGGACGCCTGGCTGTGCTGTGGAAACACTGCTGACCTCATGGACCGAGCCAGGAAGCGTCTGATCCCACTTCCTGGAAGAGTCTATGCAGGACCAGCGCTAGTTCTTCACACGTTTCATAGAGTTTGTCCACAAAGACGCTGAGAAACAGGCTTTTCTTCGTGGGAACATTGAGAAGTTACTAACTTAGCTTCTTCACCTGATGGAGGTCCTCCCACATTAAGTACTTCCTCTGAGGTAGTTCCGACCGTTTCTGTCTTTTCAGGAATTTGCCCACTTCACGTAAGCCGTCTACTCTGTGGGCAGAGTTGCTCGTAACGCTCCCTATGACGCTGGAGCAGCTGCAGGCTGTGCGGCAACGTCCCTCTGTCGCCCGAGTCCCACCGTGTGTCCGCTCTCCTGGGCAGTCCAGGCACTGCAGTCCCGCTGGCTTCCTCTACTGCTTCTGTTTCTCCTCCGCAGACACCGTCTCGCAGCTTCTCCGGGTGGGAGCTTAGACGACTGTTTCCAGGCCTCCCTCCCAACGTCCGCATGAAAAGCTCCGCATCCCCTCCCAGCGTCACCCCACCAGCACCCTACAAACTTCGACCCGAGGTGTTTGCTTTCATGCAGTTCAAGATGTTTCCTGCTGCTACTTGCGATTTCTCCTTTGGTCCGTAAGCTGGTCGTAACTGTGCTGCTTCATTTCCAAACAACCTTTTTACTCTCACTTCCCTTGTTGCTGGTTTACAATTTAATCCCACTGTGGTCCCAAACGCACTCCGCATGATGAGACTCCTCTCAGGCGCCCCCAGCGCAGGGCCTGCCCTGGAGCGCGCCCACCTGCCCGTGGGAGGCCACTCTGCTGCTGGCGGATGTCAGGTTTGCCGGCGCGCAGCCTCCCGTCTCCTTGCTTGTCTGGTTGTTCCTTCAATCACTGACAGCGGGCTACTGAAGTGTTCAAACTACAAAGCGTTGAGTGAACTATTTCTCTCTTTTTAATTGTCAGTTTTGGCCTCAAGTACCCGGGGGCTTTCTTGCCTTGGGCTTCCGACCAACGACGGACATGAAACGCCTGGAATCGTGACATCACGGAAAGAGGACCTTTCCTGTAGTGTGGGCGCCACCCACACCCGAGCATAAGAGGGTCTTGTGAGGTCAGACACTAGGAGGGGGGACAGCATGTCCCCCAGACCCGGGTCCCAACGTGAAACCCAACTGCCTGGAAACTCTAAGGCCACGCACGTGGCAGGGACAGCGGGCACTGAGGGCATCTCGCCCGGCCCCACGAGGCCCCCAGCAGAGTGAGCACATGCAGGAGGAAGGCCACCTCAGACCCTGGGGACAAGCCACCAGGGAGTGGGCAGGACTGAGGACGAGGGTCAGGAGCCCTCACCCATGTGTGGGAGGTGCTCAACCCACCGGCACAAGCCCCCAGTTCCGTGAATGTGGGACCTGGTGATGGCACTCAGTGACGGGGGCGGGGAGGACGGAAGGACAAGGCCCTGGACTGCAGGGGTGGATGGTGGGCAGTGGGCAGGGCGATGAAGGTGCAGGCCTGCCCAGGTGAGGAGCCAAGGCTAGAAGCCAGCACCCACGGTGGGGGAGGGGGCGGGCAGGGGGGGAGGGGCCTGTGGCAGGCGCTCCAGCGCAGGAAGTCAGCCCACCCAGGTGTTCTGGCGGGAGGGTGGCACCAACAGGCCACAGACAGACCTGCACAGAAACCTGCACAAGAGGAAGTTACCATAACCCTAGCTCTAACAAGAAGGAAGATGAATCCGAGGGAGATGCAAGCAGTCACTCAGGACAGCGAACAGAAGAGCTGAGGGCTGAGAACCCCAAATGTGAACACTTCCACGACGACCTGGCCTGGCTGTCTGGTGAGGTGGGGACGGGAGGTGGGAACAGGGCTTGAGCCGCAGAGCCTCGTGCCTGGGGGGTGGTGGGCAGAGACATCAGGGGAAGGGGCACCCATCAGCCACTCTGGCGATTTCCAAACCGGGTGCTGGGATTCCTGCTCACAGGGAGGACTTGGGCTCTGAGGGTGGCGTGCATCGAGCCGTCAGGTGGGGCCCATGTGGTCCCCACGAACCCGAACTTGGACTTCGCTGCAGGAGGCCCCTCACTGGGCTCTGGCGCCCTCCAGTGCATGTGGACAGAGGTCAAGTGGCATCACCCCACTTACCCATGCGTCCGTCTCGAGGCGGACTGATCACGGAGATCCTTGCAGGGCCGGCCGTGGCCTCGGGCTATGGTGTGAAAAAGAGAACAGTGTCCCAGAGCTGTCACTTGTGTGTAAAGTCCCATCGTCTTCCCAGACACAGCTCGCGTCCCGCCTGCCTGGGAGCCGCTGTCTGGCCCGGACGTGGCCGGGAGGGCAGGACTGCTTTGCTCCCCAGCCCGGAGGGCCCGTGTAGGGAGGGGAGAGGACTCCCCTGGGGTTTTGACAGATCCCAGAAGGAAAAAGCAGTGCGTTCTCGACCGACACCAGGAGTTCTGAAACCCTCAGGTCGCCCTGACGCCACGGGGCACTGGGCTCGCTCCTCGCCAAGCCCTCAGCCTGGACTTCTCTCCCTGGGAGTGGGGCCGGGGGGGCCGGGGGGCACAGCTACTGTCCGCCTATTCCCACAGCCCATCCTGGCCCGCTCCTGTGGCCCCAGGTGGGCCACCACCCCACCCGACCTGTGCCCCTGCTGGGGTCTCAGGCCACCCTCCCACTCTGTGCCCCCACACAACGGTGCTGAGCCCCCTTGTCAAGGGGCCTCCCTCCAGCTCCCCGACTCCTGTTCCAGCGCACCCTCTGCCCTGACCCCGGCCCTGCCCGCTGGCAAGACTCCACGCTCGAAGGGACCAGCCCCCACTGCAGACGCTTTGCAAATGGACTGCGGCGCCCAGCAGGCCAGTGCCCACTCCCCAGATCCCCTCCCTGGAGACAACCAACCACCCCGCCTGCCCCTGGTGTGGCTCCATCGTGGCCCAGTGCGAATGGAGCCCAACCTCACAGCCCCTCCAGCTGCTGGTCTGTTCCCCGCTGCTTTCAGAACCTGCTCGGCACCTCCTGGGCCCCCAGTGCCCCTCAGCCTCGTGGTCCCCCATGACCTCCACCCCTGCCCGTTCTGCCCAGCTGGCCACATGTCCAGCTCAGGCCAGCTCTGACCAGCCGATCCACGCTGAAACTCCAACAGAGAAGAGTCATCATCACACAGTGAGGACGAAAATCATGTTGGATTAGAATCCAGCCAATTGTCTCTTCTTACCCGGGCTTCTGATAAGGAAGAGCTTTACTTCTTGGGTCAGTTCTCGCTCGAGTCCTCTTTTGGGGGGAGAAGCCAGGAACAGGTGAGACAGAAGGGATTTAAAGGTACAGGTGCCCAAAGAGGTGGCTGCACACAGAAGTGGGCCTGTCTGGAGCAGGGCACTGGCATGGCTGTGCAGGACCAGCAGATGAGATGCTGCGGTGGCAGCCTCAGTCCACGAAGGCGTGACTCCTTCCCCTTCCGGCCTCTCTAGACAGTGGTGGAGTCCTGACTTGCTATTCAAGTCAGTTCACTGCATTCTGGTCCTATAGCTGCAATTTCCAGTGTGACACCCAGGCACGTGCCTTCACTTAGCCAGTCAGTCTTGGACCTCTGAAATGAGGCCACGTGTGGCCCGAGGATCATGGTCCAGTTTCTGGGGGCCAAGGTGGGCAGGCAGGGACTCGTGAACTGGAAGGAGGGCTTCTTCAAGAGCTGCCACGGCCTGCAGTGGGGGGCAGACACCCAGGGCAGGGAGGAGGCGCACTCACAGCCCCCTCCCGGCAGAACGTCTGGGAGCGTGGCCGACATGGTGGGATGGGAGGTGTGGGGAGGTGGCCAGCAGGGCTCAGCATCCCCACCGTCTCGCCCTGGAATCCAGGCTCCTCCACAACCCGCTTTCAGACAGTTCCCTGGAAATAAGCACTGTTTCTCACCAACCAGCCGACACGTTGGCGTCCACCTTACAGGGCTGCCAGGGCACCCAGTTCTCGTTTCTAAGGTGCTTACAGCAGTGGCAGGCTGGCTCCGGGCAGAGCTCAGTCCAGTCCAGCAGTGAGAGGAAGGCACTCCGAGGCACTGGTGGCCACAAGGCCGCACCTTGAGCCCCTGTCCCCGTCCCCTCCGGCTGTCAGGTCCCAGCCTTGAGCTGACTGGGAGCTGGCTGGAGCTGGCGATGATGCTTCAGTCCTGGCCATGTTCCCTTGTGAAGTTGAGAGCCGCACCTTTCTGCCTGGGCTGACGGCATCAGCCGGGTTCTGCTACCTCTCTCTGGCCACACGTGCAGACAGGGCAGCCACTCTCCCCACGCCAGCTGGGCAGGGGCACACACGCTTGCCAGGACCCAGCCTGTACCCCACGTCCCACGGCGCCCACCCCCGGCCCAGTATGCAATGAAGACACCGTTCACAATGGTCATCAGGGCTGAGAAGCCTGAAAACTCCAAGCAGACAGGGGACAAGGACACAGAGGCGGGCAGGTGTACTTACCTTTCTCCTTGGGGAGGGGGCGAGGTCGACTTCCATGGACTCCACCCTGCTAGAGAGTGAGAGGTGGTCAGGGGCCTGGGGCTGGCGACCAGGATGTGATGCAGAGGCACACACCACCCTGTAGGCCGCCCCCCTTCCTTCACGCCATTGGCTCAGTGTCACAGTGCCACCTACATGGGGCCTGAGGTCTGAGAGACGGGCCGCACACCCTCCCACAGGGCACGGAGCCCTCCTCCTCCGGCCCCGCCCTCCCCTCCTTGCCACCGCTCCCCCCGGAAGGCCCCTCCTCTGGCCACCAGCACCTGCTCCTGCCAGACCTCCCAGGAGCAGGAGTATCGCCTTCCACCCACACCTACTGCGCGGCCCCCACGTCCACACAGGCTTGATCAACGCTAGTTCCTTAGCAGAGTCAGCCCAGGGGCTGACAGGACACACGGCTGGATGCCAGCAAGAGAGAGGTGGGCGGGGAGAGGACCTCGTCCAGTTCCTTCCTGAGCTTGCGGACACAGGGCTGCTGGAAAGAGCCGGGGGGCGGAGGCAAGCCAGCGGGGTCTCCGCAACCCCCACACCTCCTGCGCTCCAGGCGGACTCAGCTCCAATCTTCCAAGAGAAAGACCCAGCCAGGGCAGGTCAGGTCCTCCATGGTGCCACTAGCCCAGCCCACCACTCTCGACCTGCCTCCTCAGTGTTGGATTCGCTTCTAACCACCTCCTCCACCAGCTGGCCCAGCCAGGGTCACACAACCACCCTCAGCCTCTCATACGGCCAGGACCAGTGCTGTGACTGGCTGGCCTGGGCCGCACACCTGACTGTGGGACCTGTGGCTGAGCAGAGGGAGGGGAACGTGGCTGAGCCCTACGCCTAATACTGCTAAGCACCTGGGGCTAGAGGGCGGAGGGCTGGGGACGTAGGGGGCCACAGGGAGGACTGGGCCGCTGACAGATGTGGTCCAGGACGCCCCACACACCTCTGAGAGGCCGAGGAATCAGGTGGCAGGAACACAGGCCCGCTGGGCTTTGCAGTGGGAGCTGTGAGGAGAACCCAGAGTTGGTGACCTGGTGCCACTAGGCACCGGCCTCTCCACCCTCGCTTCTGGGCGTCACTTTACTTACTCGAAACTGGAGTTTTTATTGTGCCAAAAGCTGTTTGTTGGGCCAATCTCACGCTAGACAGACAAAGAAAAGGTGTTAATTAAGCCACACACGTCCACCACCAGTAAGTAGTTCCTCCTGATCTGAAATGAAGACTGCAACAGCCAACGCTCTCCCTGGTGCTGCCCTTGCCCCCGCCCCATTTACCTGTACACACACGGCGCCGCCCCTCGGGGCCCCTGAGGACAAGCGCTGGGCATGGCGGCTCCCCCGGCCTACGACAGCGCTGACACCACAGCTGGTGCTCAGTGAAGGCTGGGGGGAGGGCGGTGCCTGGCTCCCAGAGGGCACTCGCTCTGCTTCCAAACCTCTTGGGGGACAAACCTTGTGCCATGCTGGGCACGTAGGGAGAGTGAGTGTCCGACCGACCCACACTGAGCGGTAACAAAGCCACACCACGCGGTGCTGGGGTGGGGCAGAAACAGCAGGTGTGGCTCGGGGCAAGCGGAGGCGCGGGTCCTCCCTGGAGGAAGAGACAGGCCACATGGAGCACAGGGCGGGCCCAGCACAGAAAGGCTCCATCTGGAGCCTGAGGGACCTGGGCAGGAAAAAACCTGCCTGTGAGACTCCGTAGGAAAGGCGGAGACGCAGGCCTGGATGGCAGGAACTGCAGGGGTAAAAAGAAGACATGGCTGCAGCTCAGAGTCCCACGTACCAGCCACGTCTCCTGCTCTGGAAGCTGGTGCTGGGGCCAGGCGGCGTTCTGGAACAAGGTGAGCTGCGTCGTCTTTAAAGTCTGGGCAGTCACGCTTATCCCAGGGCTTCCAAATGCAGCCCAAAGGTGAGTCCCAGGGAGCAGAAGCGTTCCCCGCAGCAGTCGGGGAGGAGAGAACGCTGAGATAGCGCCCACCAGGGCAGCTCGACGTGGCCCGCGAAGGGGCCGACACCTGCCGGGGCGCTCGGGGTCTATTCCGGGGGCGTTCCTCCTGAGAGAAGGGTCAAATTCCTAGCGTCCCCTAACCCAGGGCGCCCCTGAGGAAGAGAAGCTGAACCGGCACAGAGGCCGTAAAGCAAAGCAGAGTTGGGGACTCACCCACGGGCGGCTCAGCCAGTCTGGCGGCAAGAAAGCACAGAGGGGCCCCAGGGGGTTGGGCCAGAGAGCCAAGGAGAGTCTCAAGGGCCAGAGCTGGAGGAAGGGGGAGTAAGAACCGGGCTGAGATGAAGTGGGTTCGGGCGCAGTGCACTGCTTGCGGGGAGGACTTCCCAGCACTTTTCCCCCCGGACCGGCCTCTCCCTTTCACACGTTTGGGCGTGACCAGGAGACAGGGCCCTGATGTCTCCAGGCACCGGCTGATCAGTCCTTCTGTGTACCTTCCCCGACGCGGGGACCCTGGAGCGGGATATGCAGTAGCCAGGAGTAGAGGGCAGAGGTATTCAGAGAAGGCAGGCACTTCCCAGGTACGTTCACCCCGGAGGGCCAGGGTCACTCCTGTCTGTCAGACCGAGTTCCAGAGTCCGCTGAGAGTGGCCCAGCCCCGGCAAGATGCAGGGTAAGCCCTGAACTCCAGGGAAGGCAGAGGGAGAAGGAGGAAGCCTGCCACGGAGACCTGGCCACCTGAACGGAGCTTCCCATCAAGCCAGGGGGAGACCCCCATAGGGAGGGCTGAGAGGAGAGAAAGGGCGATGTGCCCGCAGGGCTCCCCTACTCTGGGGTCCCCGTACGGGCCACCAAGTGTTGGGGGACAAGGAGGGCCGGTATCGTGGGTGGTAAAAGATTTTACCAAAGATAAAGAATGAAAATAGAAAAGGCCTTTACTAGGGTTTACTGCCACAGGCAACAGTGGGCCACAGAGAGGTGCCCCTCTGAGCCCTGAGGGCTGGGTGTCGGGTCTTGTGTCAGGCCAGGTCACAAGGTGGCTGACCGGCTTGTGCACTTGGCTCTGGTTGGCTGCAGCTGAGGTAAGAGGCTCAGGGTCTGTGAAGGGTGGTGGGACTTGACTCTGGCGAGGTGGACATTCCCTGGGGCTGTTAATTTGTCAGGGGATTGCAGGCAGTCTGAGAGCCCAGGAATGGGGGTCGTTGGACCCTGAAGGACCCAGTGGGTTCCAAAGAAACCATCAGGGATGTGCTGGAAATGCGAAGCAGAGCAGACAGACTGACAAATGGGCCAGGGCAGGACGCACCACTGTAGCTGTGGGACAGAGTGCAGATGCCATGAGGCACCGAGGCCCAAAGGGGAGGTCCACCAGGGGTAGACACCAGGTACAGACAAAACCGCAGCAGGAGACTGGAGAAAGGTAAGGCTAGGAAAAGCAGTGCCTGGGGTTTTCCAGAATCAAGGACACGATTCCACAGAAAGAAAGCAAACTGCACAGACCCCGGAAGGACAGACCCACGTGGCCGGCCGGGAGCTCGCGGTACGCGCTGTCCCCCGACGGCGTCCAGCCTCACCCAGCACACACGGCCTGGCCGTCCCGGCTTCCACAACCCTCCAGTGAAGTGGCAGCCTCTCTGACTGGGGCGAAGGGGCCGCAGCCCGGCCTCTGCCCAATGGCCCCGAACACACCTCTGCAGGTAGCACCCGCCATCATCCCAACCATGACAGCTGGCAGAGGCCCTTCCTCCCCACACGGCCCAGTGAGCGGCCCAGCTCTGTCCAGCTCTGTCTCCAGCCTGAGGTCCCGGTGGCCATACCGCGCTCAGTGCAGATGCGACAGGGAGGTGAGCATCCAGGCACTGGGGCGGGGAGGGGGTGTTGTGTCACCGCCGGGGAGACAGCAGCCTGTCGGGTAACACACTGCCCACCCGCCGACCTGTTGGTATTCACCACATCAAAACATACTGGCGGAGCGCAGCCTGTCACCTCGGCGGTGCGGCGCTGAGCCCCTGGGGCCGAGCACTGTCGCACTCCCCTCGTCTGTCCGTGCAGCAGGGCTGCAGGTGGGACCGGGCCTGGTGGCAGAGCCCCTCCCCCTGCAGGAGGGTGGCGCCGACTCTCTTCCCGGAACCCCCTATCACCCCAGGAATCACGGGGGCCCTGGAGGACCCATTCATATTTTCTAATTTTTCCTTTCAGTCTCTTTCCTCCCCTCCAGCTTCCTGCTGCATTTGTGGGATAACAGAGTTTCCCGTAAACAGAGGTCTCTTCCTCTCGCTCCCTGGGTCACGACCAAGACCTGAGACGGACGTGGATGGACGACCAGTCGGGTGGCAGGCACCTGCCCGCCACGTGCACTGAGAACTGACCTTTGCAGCTGCTCTAGCTGCAGCGCCGACTTCCTGAGGGACTCCTCCAAGCTGGAAATCTAGACACAACGGAACAACTTCCTGTCACTGCAGAGCCCGCGCCCAGCAGCAGCGGGAAGCACAAGCGGGCCCTCAACTCCCCAACCCAGGAGTCGCTGACGTGGGGGTCTCTCCTGCGCTACTCCTGAGGGAGCCTGCACCTGGCGCCCAGAAAGCCGGGGCCAGGAGCCCGTCGGGGCAGCGGGGAGCCCCGGCAGGAGGCTCCAATCCGGGGCACAGCTGGAGCTCCAGGTTAATGCCGTTTCCACGGGAGCTGCACGTGCCCTGTCGGGTTTAGACATCAAGTGAGGAGGACACTTTCGGGGCAAGCGGTGGGCACTGAGCTTCCTTTCACTTCGCGGTCACGCTTGTGAAAAAGCACCAAATGAATCCGGGGTCATGACGGGCCTGTCCCGACATCCCACGGTGACACCGAGCCCATGGCTGGGTTCCCGGGCGGCCGCAAGGCCGAACTCCACAGGGATGATGCCCCAGGCGGAGGGCCAGCAGGACAGGCGCCAGCCCGCTGCCCACAGCGTCCCGAGGCAGGTCAACTGGACTTACCTTTTCTCCATAGAAGGCCAGCAGTCTCCTCCTGTGCTTTTCCTGAAATTCTGAAACCTGAGAAGACAGCACGTCACTGCCGACACTGGCACGTGGTGGCCGCCACAGAGGTGAGGGGGCTTCTGTGCAAGTCACGGCACCTCTCCAGACACGTGCCCCAGCCCACCCGGGGGCAGGTGCCCATGGGGCCCCGGGAGGTGCATGGCTACAGGCGGGCCCCCGCTCAAGTGCGGGTTCCATGGGTCTTCAGTGGTGCTCAGAGCCCCGGCCACAGGATGGGACATGACCCACATGGGTCAGTCACAGTGCACCGTCCCTTAGTCAGCAGGGACTGGTTCACGAGATGGCCTCCTGACTGGACAGTGCCAACCAGGACCTCTGTGACCTGCTACACGGACTGGGGGTGCGCTGGGCAGGAAGGGGCAGTTTAGGAGCTGTGAGATTCCGGGAGCCCAGCGACGTGCTCTGGACACCCAGGGCCAGCTGTGCCTGGAACCAGAACCATTCCCGGTCCTCCGTTTGCATGCGCCCCAAGCACCACGTCCGCGGTGCGCAGAGTTGGGACTGGGTTCCTGAGGGTGCCAGTGCGAGACAGAAAATAGATGCCTATGACTCACTCACGAGGAGAAAGAGCCCAAGTGTTTGGACGACGGGCCCTGCCCTCTGGAAACACTGAACTGCAATTGCTCAAGCCCAGTTCCCACTGCTGTCTGTGCACAGTGGAGGCACGGCAGGGCTGGGCGCTGGGCAAACTGGGGTCTGAATCTATGTCACTCCTCCCCAGGAACCCACTAATACACGCACAAACGTTGAGGGATCTCGGCATTTTCCGTGGGTCTTACTGGTCTGGCACAAACTGAGGGAGAAAACCCCTCTGTGGGAGGCTGGCCCAGCCCACAGCGGATCTTCAGAGCTCTTCTATGGTCTGGCTGCTTCCAGAAGGCGGGGCTGTGGTCAGGAGGGACAGGCTCCCTCCTCAGGGCCTCCCAACCTCCTAGCTCCTGCATCCTTCGAGGGACAGAGCTCTTGGGGTCAGGGTACACGGTATGGGAGGACATAGGCTCTGCCAGGAACATCGGCCTGTGGGGGGTAACACAAGGGCCCCTAGGGCTGCCCCTGCAGAAGTCCCTACAATGCGTGAGGCCCCATCCCAGGGGGCCCTGACCGCGTCGACGGTGCTCAGGTCCCCTGTACCCAGGCCAGAGCCTCAGCTGGCAGACACCCGGGGCCTCCCTTCGGGCCTGGTGTGGCCCTCTTCCTCCCCCCACCTCACATAGTATAGGGCAGCGAGGCAGGGCTGACTGGTTCTAGACACAAAGCCGGGAGGGGTTTGGACAGAGCTAAAGCCAGCGTCCCCAGTCACCTGCAAAAGGCAAGGTGACAAATGGCTCTGTCCCAGTGGAGATGGCACAGGAGACAGAGACCCTCGCTGACCACACGACCACAGGTCCGAGAGTGGCCTGGTCTCCTCTGAGACCATTTCCTGGTGTCAGCACAAACCAAGTCTCCAAGGGAGCATCATGACTCACCTGGGAGGTCTCCATGGAGTACTTCCTACACAGGCCGTCGATGCCCAGAAAGAGCGCCCGGATGTCGGAGTCTGTCTGAGAGAGAAAGGCTGCTTCTACCTTCCCTACCCTGAGGGAGGGCCACGAGGTCCAGGGGGCCACGGGGTAGAGGGTCGGCCAGCAGGGTGCCAGGGAGGGGCCCGGCAGCCGGCAAGCCCTCTGGCCACCAGTCCCATCTCTGCGTGAGACACGCCCTGGCCTGGAAGGGCTCTAGCAGCAAAGGGTGGGGCTGAGCAGAAGGAACAGTGAAATCAGAGGAGGGAAGAGCAGTGGGCATGACTGCTAACTGCTCACAAACCAGAGGGGAAAGGAGAGTTTAAGAAACAGCGCCTGCCCACGGGGACTCCTTGTGCAGATGTGCCTGCCCAACCCCAGGCCCTCCACCCCGTGGCCATGTCAACACAGAAGCCCAGCCGATAGCTGTCCCAAGGCACATGGAACACAGAAGTGCCTGGGCCAGGACACACCAGACCGAGAGGACCAGGGGCCTCGGGCCCTCCCCGGTCTGGAACAAGTCTGAGGATGGCTATCTGGGCCCAGCCATGGACTGACTTACGCTCCTGTCTCTCCTGCAATGACAGGAAAACTACATTTAGGGGAAAACCAGATCAGCGCTGAAAACTAGGAAGTGCGTCTGGAAGGGCCAGGGCCCTGAGGGGCTTCTGGAGGACCCTGCAGAGGGGCTGGCGCAGGTGCAGTGGCTCTAGGACCCACGGCCCAGCCCTGGAGGTGGGGCCAAGAGCAGCCGAGGCACACGTGAGCCAAGACCCCGGACATCACCCTATGCCTCTAGCATAGGGAAGCAAGACAGAAACGTGAGCAGTACCAGCTGGGCCCTGGGGAGTGCAGACCAGACTGTGACAGAAAACCTGGCCCAACTCGGAGCCACCCCCCCCAAGACAGGAAGGGAAGCAAGGGTGCTGTTGCTGACCCATCAGGGCCCAGGGCCTTCCTGGGGGAGAATTCACACGGAGACCCTGAAAGGGACAAACGGGGTGGCTGCCTTCCACAGCACGGGGACCCCGACAGAAAGCCCTGCTTTCCCACTTGTAGGGATCTACGCTCTAGAAACGTTCTCCCAAGCATGCAGAACTGTGGTAAAAACGTGCACTGCACGGCTGTCTCACACAGCATAACACTAAAAACCCAAAGGTTTTCCCATAGGAGAACAGCGTGATATGACGCAGTCGTTTGCAGAGACCTTGAGAGCTCCACTGGGACAAAGGGCACTGGTGCGCCCAGGGGAGGGTCCGCAGTCCTGGCTGCGGTCATCCTCGGGAGCAGGGTTTGGCCGACTTTCACATTCTCTGTTACAGTTTTCTACTATGTTTGAGTTTTGTGTGATTTTGCATTGTATTTGTAATTAGAAAAAGCCCAATTTTTACATTGAACATCAGACCAAATATACATCTTAGAACCTAAGTGTGAAAGAATCAACTTTACCAACTTTCTTGGACCCTCTTAACCAGAAATGACCCCAGGAGAGCCAGGCCCACCACCTCTCAAGGAGCCTGTGTCGTCCAGAGGAGACCTGTTCCCAAGAACACGCGGCTCCCACTGGCCATCTCTGGTTTCAGGGAGAGCTGTGTGGGGTGTTCAGAACCAAGCCTACTGTACTTTCTGCAGAAAGCCTGTACGATCTCCTAGTTCACCCAGCAAAATGAAGAAAAACTTTAAACACCACAAATCACTAAACGCTGAGCGCCACATTTAAAAGCAAACACTGGGATTAGTACTCAGATACTACAGATTTCAACTTACATGTTTTGAAAGCAGAATCGTACGACATGGAACTTTACAAATCAAGCATTCGTCCCTTTTACCTATAAAAGAAAAGCACGTTTCGCTCTGCCCGCCGCACACGGGGAGCCAGGGCCAGGGAAGCAGGTGTCACGTCTCCCCGGCCGCCCTCGGGAGGCCTCGCCCCGCTGAGCACGCCGCTCCCCGAAGCCCGGAG